TCCTTCAGCAGAGGCTTCAGCAGAAGCTTCAGCTGAGCCTACAACAGATCCCTTAGCTGAGCCTCCAGCAGATCCTTTAGCTGCGTCTACAACAGATTCTCGTCCGCACTGATAACCCAAGTCTAAGACCCAATTGCTCGCCATAAATATCTTCAATTTGGTAGTGTAAATGCTGCAAACAGCAGTCAAACTGAATGTTAACTTTGACAGCAGCATTCAATAGCAATTGTAACGATAATCGAACTGAATTCCCTTTGCCTTGCCTATTCCGTTTTGCTTCCCATTCGTAAACGTTTGCACTTCATTTTTTTTTAACTAACATCTAGGTTTCATGTTAACTGAGCATAAAGCTCAGCTGCAAAGCTCAACGTCTGCCAAGTCCGTCTGTGTGTTGCAAACGCCTCGAGAAAGTTGTGAGACTTCTTGTTAATGCATAGCTGGCAGCTGCCTTTGACAAGCGGTTGTTGTTGCCGTTGCTGCTGCTGAAATTATGCCAACAGTTTTAGTCGGTTGTCATGTGCAGCGATTACCGTTAGTTGTAATCGTTGTTGTTGTTGTTGCTGCCTCCGCTCCTGCTGCTGCTGCTGCTGCTGCTGCTGCTGTTGTTGCCACTTGACACTAAACGAAAATGAAACCAAAATTGTTGGCCGGCTCGTCAACAACACGACCAACTCGCGCTACAGTTTCTCGAGCACTTCTGGAAAACTAGTTAAAGTACTTTAAATGGCAGTGGCCGACTAGCAAATACTCTCTCTCTCTCTAACCATACTAAGCTATTTTATGTATTTCGAAAGCCTTTTGTATCTAGTTTTGATCATATGCGATAAGTGCTTGGAAGACCTAACTTGCAATCGATATCGATACTTTTCGGGTATCGAAAAACAAGTGAAAAACTTAAACTGCATTAGTTTTACAGTTTGTGTTTTGCTCAGAGGAGCTTTCTTCAAACCGATATTTATCGATATCATAGGTGCATGAACATGGCATTAACGGCCAAGTGCACTGATTGACGAACTTACAACCATGCCCAACGTTAACATGATTGAGTATACGGACATACGAGAAAACAGTTGTGCCGGCAATAGATAGAAGACGAATCAGTGCCGCATAGATCGATCCATGCGAGCGCAGCATAGATCTTAACCTCAAGCTGCATTCAAGTTCCACAAAACTTGTCTACCCGTTTCCACCTTAAATGGTTTACAGGATATTCAAACTGTTGTGCGACTTTAGTTTAGTGCATTGCCCCGACTGGTTTGCTCGCTCCCACACGCTTTGTCTTACTCTAAATCTCTGTCTCTCCACCTCTGTCTCTCACTGGTTCCCTCTCCCTCTCTCTCTCACTTTGCAGTTATTTATAGTTGTTGCTCGTTTGCTGTGCGTATTTTTAATAAGTTGATTTTGCCGTCGCTTCGGTTTTATTTTGCATAAATTATGCAAGCGCCTGTCATTTGTCTGCTCTAGCACAACAAGGACAACAGCATTTTAAAGTTTGAACATCACTGAGAAACTGTTGACGTGTGTGTGTCAGTCTGTGTGTGTGCGTGCGTGGTTGGGTCGGCGGGTGGAGTGTTGTTTTATAAATTAGCTGAGCCAAATTAACTTTAATATATGTGTGTTTAAATGTTGAACAAGTGTATGCCATTTTACCCCCACTCTTCGCTCTTGATACCCTGCACTCATTAAACATGGCCAGCATGAAAGGGGTATATTGCAGATGTAGATAACATGCCATACTCTTTAAGCTACGCATACGTTTCTGGGTCACTCAGATACAGCACTTCTTTTTCCAACTTATCGATAAATATCGATATTCGTACACCATTTTATCATATACTTTTGTATCCTGCACGTTCTATTATATTTTATCACTCTATTCCTATTATCAATTATCTTGATAGATATATTTTAAATACAGTTTTCCTCTGCATGTTTAATAGCTACGTACACTAAATTTAGTTTGAAAAATTCCATATGGGGTTGCAGATGTAGGATTAAAAATTGTATGTAGATATACCTCTCAAAATTTAGAGGTATCTTTGCATTGAAAGATATTCATTATTTTCCCCAACTGTTAACTTGGGGTAGACGTAGAATCACAACAGCTGGTTGCTCGCTGCAGGGTATCTTTCAGTCGAGCAGTTTCCTTTGGCGCACTATTACTTGCTACTATTTTTCACTGGTCTGGCATTTATCATTTATAATTGTTTGGCTGTGTGTCAACCATTTGGCTATTGCGGTCTCCTCCCCACTTGGAGCGTGCTGGCTCTGATGATGAAGTGGGAGGGATGGCGGATAGCGGATGGTGGATGGCGGAAGGGGCGTGACCATATTCTTTGTGCATTTCACATTTTGACACTTTGACATGCATTAAATCAGTCAAGCGTTGGCCACTTTGAGCTCCATGACTTTGCGGTACAGCTGTCCGTCTCACTTCCGCCAACGCTCTGCGCCTATGCTGCTGCCTCTCTCCTTCTCTCTCTCTCTCTCTCCCTTTCACTCCCTCTCTCTGTCCCTGTCCCTCTCTGTCAATGTATCTTTATCTTGCTCTCACGCGCTGTCAGTGCTGCAGCAGAGTTTTAAGGTGACCACAGTTTGCATATTTAATTGCTGCAGTTTTAGCTGACCATTTCATATTAATGAGCCAAACCAATGACGACTTTTGGCCCAAATGAGCATGTAAATGCTTCAAAATCAGGTCCTTCATATCATTTTGAATGTAACATCCAACACGAAATACGAACTAATCCCAGACTTATCTCGCTCACACGAACTGCAACTGCATTTCAAATTCGACTTCATAATAAATTAATCAAAGGAACAATTGTTTGAATATGCTAATACGAGTTAACCCTCTGTTCTGCGGGAAAACAAGCCACTGTCAATGACAACCTATTCATAATCTTCTTGTCAATGCATTAACACGCATGTCAAATATTATGCACCTGCAAGTTGAGCCTAATATCAAAATCATAAAGTATCAGCTACAAAAACCCACCCCGATGGCACCTCACGGAGGCGTTGCCAACTTGGTGACATCTTCCTGTCACAATTACATTCACTTTTAACATTTGCTGGACAACCACTTATCAAAATGCAGTCGCTGATAGGCAAATAGAAAAGTGGTAGCATTCTTTTGTTGTGCCTCTACCAATCTCTCTTATGCATCAGGTGTATTTCCTGTATCCCACTCTCTAACACCATATGTGAACGCTGTTTGTGCTCCTCTTTATCATATGTAACTTCACGATATTTAGTATATATAGTGTGTATATACGTTGCGTCTCTCTCACTCATTTTCTATTGCAAGGCATGTGATATATATATGTAGACTCACCATCTCCCTCTCTCTTTCTCTATCTCACTCTCTCTTCCACTCTCTCCCTAATTCTCTCTCTCCCTCTCTTAATCATTTTATCTCTCTCTCTCGCTCTCTATCTCTTTCGGTTCCTATCTATTTTACATTGCTCAATACTTCATCCCCCTTCCCACTACATGTTTTCCTCACTTTCTCTCCCGCTGTTTCAATCAATTTCACCCTTACTTTTGCCTTCTTACCCTCACCTTTCTCTATCTCTCTAACTTTATTACATTGCTCCTCCCTCTCCCCTCTTTCTGTCCCGCTCTCTCTCTCTCTCTCTCTCTCTCTCTCTCTCTCTCTCTCTCTCTCTAATTTAATTATCTCTCATCATCATCTCTGTTTCTCTCCCTTTCACAATCTTCCCCCTACCCTTACCTTCAAAGTCTCTCTGTCTATCACGCTCTCGTAAGCTTTCTTTCTCTCTCCCTCTCTCTCTTACACACACTCTTTAGCTCAATTCAACACACTTTTGCATTTTCTGTCTCCCTCAACCACCTGTGATGCGTACACCTCTTTTCCCCCTTTTTCTCTCTCGTCAACCTTTCTCTCCCGCTCCCTCGCTCTATGCCTTTCGTTGAGAGATCGCAAAGCCGAAGGGCAAGGTTATGACCAGGCGAACCGTTAAAATTTATAACATTTCGCCTAGTCGATGCTTTTGAAATTTATGTGCATGTAGTTTCGAAATTTGTATATATGTTAATTGCGACAAGGGAATAACGGTGCCAAAATATGTACACGAAATTTATGGATAAAACATGGCAATTGCTTTACTCGCTTTATTTATTTATTTATATATGTATTTATTTTTTTTTTTTTTTGCCTTTCTTCATCTTCCTCTTCGTTTTTTCGCTTAACATTTTCGACTTGTAGCAATTTATCATAATTTTGCTTGCTGCTTTTGTTGTTGCTGTTTTTGTTGTTTTTTGTTTTGCCTTTGGCATAAATCAGGCGCAAATGCAAACTCCAAGACGCAAGCAAAGGCAAAGGCAAAGGCAAAGGCAAAGGGGAAAGGGCAAGGGATGGATTATGTAGCCTGCCTATAGTTGTTGTAGCTGCTGTTGTTGCTGCGGCTGCTGATGCTTCTGTTGTCGTTGCCTTCGGCTTCATTTTTGTAGCTACCACAAGGCGACATTAAATAGGGCTAAGCAAAGGCAGAAGAAGCAAAAGCACCAAAAGCGCCAAAAGCTGCAACATTGCGTTTCGCGTTCGTGTCACTGCCTAATGCTAATTACCGTTACCCTTTGACAGCCCCAATTACAGCGCCCAAATTGAATCTGTTTTAATTAATATACGCCGACATTATATCGCAAATTATACGACGCATAAACGAAATGAGAATTGAAAGCGTGACGTTTTTACCGTTGCGAACGCTCGATCATAGGACGTTCTCAGCTAACGATATTTCGCTGCCGTTCGAAACGAGCTAACGGTACTTCGCTGCTGCCACTGCTGCTTGTCGCCTTCTCATTAAATTCTTGCTGCTTAACAGCGCTGCTTAACGGTGCTTGGACCATAGTTTTAAATAAGTAAAGGCACAGTGTGATCAAATGACAACATATTGCAAGCAAAATCTTAGGCGTCGCAGAAAAGTATGCAATATCAAATATTTATTTAGAGCATGTTAAATGTTGGCACTTACCCCAAAGCCTTTGGACAGTGTGCGTGCGGCGCTGCCAACTGTTGGCAAATTTATGCGCTGCTGCCGCCGCCGCTACTGCTGCTAGTGGTGTCCGTGGGGGACAGCGACAAAAGGACACGGCGCTAAGGACAACGTGTGCAAATGAGTTTTGTTTATGCGCGCCGTTCGCGGGGCCTGTCACTTGATTTATGGTGTGACCAAAACACTTTAAGATGCTGCGGCGCCACTCTCAGCTTATGGGCTTTATGGCCAACAACTGTTGTTGCTTTTACTTTTGCTGTTGCTATTATTATTGTAATTGTTGTTGATATCAGTGTACAAACTATAGTCGCTGACTGTGGCGGCGACGCCGTCTGCACGTGGCGCCCAAATCAGTAGCCATGGCATCGGCCAGGCTTTGTTTTTGTTTATGATTTGGCTGAATTTCGTTTGTTCGCCCACAGCTGGACCCTTGTCACACCAGAACAAAAATAAACTTTTAACTTGATTTATCTATGTTTTTGACACTGCACTCGCACTCGACCACAAAAACAAAAATTAATAATATTAATTGAATATGCACGTGATACAAGTCCTGTATTTGTTTTAGGCGTGTTGATTATATTTTTCTGTTGCTCTTGCGTGCCCAGCATCCGATTGGCTTAGAGGTTTACAGCTAACTGTAGTTTAGCAGATTCAAAATCAAGTTCTCTCCATCGTTATTTGCAACATCAGAAAATCCCAAAAATACCTGCTAGTATTAATAGTATTTGGTATTTTTTCTGAAATATCGATAAGAAACTATAGTATGCAGCTGTTAAATGTCTGTTATGGCATGGCGCACTCTGTTTGTTTCAAATGATATCACATTACACATGCAATTTCACAGTCAATAAAGATTAAACTATTTTATGCTTTGATTAATTGATTGATTAAGACTAGTAATATTAAAAATGATTAACTTAAATCATTTTAAGCTGAAATTAATATATATATAACAGAAAATTGATTTAACCTGACTCTCATTCCCTCAATATTTAGCTAAGAAAGTTAATTATGTAAGCTTTTTATTTATTACGTTCATTTCAATATTTATATTCACTATTCACATTTAAAAACTATCGAAGATCTTGCACATTTATGTGTGCCCGTACCGTATACTAAATAATATACTAGTATTTTCTTATGGCAATTTGCACTAAATTCAGTACAGGTCGATAACACGATAAGCACGACAATTACGATTGGCAATCGACACAAGTACAACTACGTGGCTGCCGCTGTTTAGAAAATATACGTCAATTTCCACGGTAAAGAGCGAAAATCTACTTAAACAAAGACGCCAGAATGCAAAGAACGGTAGCTAAAGTACTGCTAACATTATGCGGCCTGCTAATCCTATCAAGAGGCAGCCAAGCCTTCATTGTCAGCGTAGATGCTCACAACGAGGAATGTTTCTTCGAGAATTTCGAAGGTGGCACTAAATTCGGTGAGTAAAATCCGTGTAACAAGCAAAGTTCATTCCATTATTAACAGTCGACATTGGCAGGCATTACGTTCGAGGTGATCGAGGGCGGCTTTCTGGACGTGGACATCAAAATAACCGGCCCCGATCAGCATATTATGCACGAAAGCGAAAAGGAATCATCTGGCAAATACACGTTCGTTGCGCCCGCTAAGGGCGTGTACACCGTGTGCTTCAACAACGAGCGCAGCAGCATGACACCCAAGCTGGTCATGTTCTCCATCGAGACGGGCGATGCGCCGCAACGTGCGCCAGGCGCACCCGGCGAAGAGGAGGTGGGCCACACCAAACTTGAAGACATGATCCGCGAGCTTTCCGGCACGCTAACCAGCGTTAAGCACGAGCAGGAATACATGCACGTGAGTACCTTTTGCTTGGTCAATATACAACATGTTCCACTCACACTTAATGCGTTTTGCAGGTGCGCGACAAAATACATCGATCGGTCAACGAAAGCACCAACTCGCGTGTCGTCTTGTGGTCCACATTTGAGGCATTGGTGCTAGTTTTGATGACCGTCGGCCAGGTGTATTACCTGAAGCGCTTCTTTGAAGTCAAGCGCGTCGTGTAATACCAACTACTCCTCCTCGTTTGTGCGTGCGTGTATAGAGCGAATGTGTTGCAGTCTCAGCCTAATTTTAATACAATTAATTAAATACTTTTTCGTAACAAAATTTAAGCAACATGCTAAACACTCAACTTTTCAATTCATTTACACCTATCCCTGTCCCTGTTACTGTTGACTCGTCTAGCCACACACAACACATTGACTGTGAATAGAAACAGCCAGCTCTACGGGCATCTAGCCTAGTCTATATCAAGCACTTCAGCTCATTCAGCTTGTACATATTCCTGTCCCATCTTTCATAGACCTCTTAGTACCCTTGAGGCGGGGTAGCAGCCTGGCAGAACGTATGTCAGAGACACTTACCAATTTAGTTCGATTTGAAAATTTTGTACCTTTAATTGCTTTGGTTGATGTAGCGCGACTTTTATTTATATATAAAGCATATATTTAACATATTACAATCAGTCTAATAGTTTCTTTTCGCGCAAGTTTAAATTTTAGACAGCTGAGCTGCAATTTCGAGAAATTATTAGTATTAAAAACTTAAAATTCATAGTTAAATGCATATTTAAAACAATAAATAAATCGTAGTTGAATTTGAGCAGATTCACGTAACTTGCATAAATATGACAAAGATAAGGCTCATGGAATAAAATTGAGATATATATATATATATATATATATATATATATATATATATATATATATATAAATTATATATATATATATATATATAAATTATATATATATATATATATATATATATATATATATATATAGGTATATATCTATATGTATGTCGTTACGACAATATTATAACAATAGATTAAATGCTATTCAGCAACGCTTTCGTTGGGAGTCTCTGCTGCTGCTGGCTTGTTGAGCAGCATCTTGGCATAGTCGGATATGTGGAGCACTCCATGTTGCATGGACGCAATGTGCAGGTTGATGCCGCTTATGTAGTCCTTGTTAATGTGCGCATTCTGCAATTCGGTTATGAGCGTAGAACAGGCAGCAGCCGGATCGCCAGTGCTGACGAGCATTTTCTAAAGAGAAAGAGAGAGAGAGATAAAGGGAGAGCTGACCATAGAAAAATGAAAAGCTAAAACACTTACCGCCCAGAACTCGTTGCCCGGCAGGGCGTTGCCATCCCAAGCGTACGTGACAAGGGGCAACATATCCTCCTTGAGCTTGTCAGCCGGATTGCGCACCGAGATGTGCACCTTGATGCCGCCCTGTGGATGCGTGGGCTCGGCAATGCAGGCGCCATCGAATAAGCCACCCCATTTCTCGAGATGAAACCAGGAGAAGTGCACAGCGCCAATGTGTGTCAGACGTGCACTGAGCGCACGCATGCGCTGCTCAAAGGTCTCCAAGAAAATCTCCTCTTGCTGCTTGGATACCTTCCAAACGCCCAGGCCAATGCCGGTGACATGGATGTACGCCGGTTTGCCCGCACGGGCGGCACGTGCCTCCGCTTCCAAGAGCAGAGTATCAAAGCTGATGGCATAGCGCTTGCCCATGACCACCTTGTCAAACTTGGTCTCTCTGTCCAACTGTGTGAAGCGCTGGCCATCTGCCTGCACCTCGTTGTAGAGAAAGTCCTTGGGCTCCTCGTAGAACTCGCGCCATATACGACGATAATCCTGCGCACGGTTTTTAGCAGGTCCCGAAAAGCCGTAACCTTCGTCTTCTGTATTTTGCTCCGGCGTTATGGTTATATCCTGGCATTCCATAACATTGCGTCGCTCGAACCGCGCACCAATCAGCCCCATAATGACGCCTTCCGTCTCGATAAGTGACTTGTTCTGCTGCACACGGCCGGCATTCGAGCGCGACCCATCGTTGATGAATTCGGAATGGCTAGAGACGTAGAGCAAAGCCGACAACTTCACTTCATCATAGCTGAGCACGTCCTTTAGCACCAGTGGAGCAGTCTCCTCGCTGGTACCAATCTGCTCAAAGCCCCCATAGTCCTTAGTGCCGTCCAACAGATAATACGAATCGAGCGCACCGAAGAAGTAAACGCAACGTTTGTCCAGCAAACGCTGCACAAACTCCGTCAGTGTCAGATGCTCATAGACACTTTGCTCCTTCGAATTACCTGTCGATCGATTGTAGGATTAGACAAAGATTAGGAGCTCTATCTCCCTCTCCGTTAACTGGATACGAACCAAACTTATTCTTATGCTCCAAAAAGTTCATGTAAAGAAACAAGGTCAGCTCGTGTATAATGGGATACGCGGACGCGATTTGCTCGCGTATGAATGGTCTACGCTCAACCGGCTGCGACTTCACCCGACAATTATCCGTGCCGAACTGTAAAAGCAGAGCATCGATGACGTTACCTATAAATTTGAAGATTTTCTTTACTTAGAACCGCTTACCGGAATGGGAAAGTTATCAGAGATCGACATAAAGGCATCCAAGTCAACGGCATCGGGCTGTTGGCTGGGCTTCACCAGCTCCGAGCACAGGACCAACTGCTGCCTTGCGAATTCGCTGAGGACCGGCACGTGTCCTGATGCCGGGTTGGGCCAGACTTGTGAAATGCTATCACCGACTGCAACCATATTTCGGAATTGTAATTTTTGACCCACGTCTTGCAACACTTTGCGCATTATCGTCAAAATTCTGCCAATCTGTGAACGACTGCGCAGAAATAAAAAAAAAAAGAAAATTCGAACTGTATGAATGCCGGCACGAATGTGGGCATATATATATCTCGAAAATTATATTTAGTGACTGTCAGTTGGCCAGTGTTCACAACGCACGTTTTGCAGTATTGGAAAGCGTCAGCAGCTGCTATCTGCTTAAGCCGCGTATGCAGCTCTTCAAGCAAAAGTCTATGGGAATTAACATACAATGACTAACAACTTACCTTTACTAGTATTATGGAGTATATTAAACGTGCTCTATAATATTAATTTCTTGATGTATATTTAATCAAATCATGAAATGAACTGTGTTAACTACGTAAACCAGCTTACAATACTTTCTTTATTTGTTTGCCCACCACATACGCGGCAAATTTCACCATACTGGAAATATATCGATATCGATATGCCCAGACTAATATATACCCTTGACTTCAAAAGTGCTCACAAAATTATCAAACTAGCCGCAATACTTAAAGGTATTCAGTTATTAAAATACCAAAATGTATTAGATTTCGTACTTTAATTAATAATGAATGTAGTACAAGCTAATTGCTTATTGCCCACAGCAGTTGTCGTGCAACAGCCAGTGCAAATCAATATACCCGCTATGAGCTCTGCGCTTACAGCGTATTTGGTCATTGTTTATAAAAATGCCGTCCGCCACAGAACTTTTTATTAAATACAATTGTGAAATTGAACAATTGACAACATGTCCGCGTTTGGAGCTGAAGTCGATGCCATTTGGCCACCAGTGGAAGCTGCAGCACAGCCGCTGACTCCATTCGGGCGACAGCTGCTGGAGAAATGCAAATCTGTGAAGCAACCCGATCCAGACGCAACTGTCGACCTGCGGTCCTTCATGCGTAAATCTACCGCCTTTCCGCTGGAGGTACGTATTTTTCCCTTAACCAATCCCCAAGCGCTGCCACCAAACTTAGGGAAATCAATCATTTTCACAGTTCGGTGTCGAGACGTGCCGAGTGCAAAGTCAGCCGAAGGATCGCCACGAAACGATTGGCCGGCAGATTGCCTCCGTCTATCCGCTAATACACGAGCGCACCTTGGCGCTCTACCTGAACTACCTGGAGCACAAGGGGCAGTGGGGTAAGCGATTGAGTGAATCACATCTTCTGTTGCAAGTGCTTAATGTGAGATTCTTCAATTGCTCGCAGGGAACGCTGTGGAGCAGCGCGTCTATCGGCAGCTGTCGCTGGTCGACTTTGTGCAACGTCTCTTGAGTAAGCGCTGCGCCAGCTTCTTTGCTCGCAATGATAAGTTCTTGTTGCTGACGGGCGAGCGTGGAGCCAGCGGCTTCGAGCCCATCGGCAGCTTGGAGGAGCAGGCGCCGCTACAGCTGGAGCATGTGCTCAGCTATGATGACGTGAAGTTGTCGGCCCTACTCTCGGTCAGCTCGCACACGGAGTTCATCAACGAAGGCGAGCGCACCAATTGCGGCCGGGTGACCCACAATCGCAAAAGCCTCGAGCCGGAAGGCGTGATTGTGGGTCTGATCGGTGCGCGGCTCTCACGTCGCAATCTTATGGAGTTCCAGGACATTGTCATAGCGCGTACCCAAAACACCACAGAGCGTGGCTACGGCTTTCCCGCAGATGCGCCTGCCAACACCCGTGCCGAGGACTATCGTCGGGTGTGGCGCAGCTTCTACGAGACGCGCGACTATCTGCGCAACGATGTGCAAATCGATGGGAAACGGTTTGGCGTGTCGGGCAACAAGCAGGATGTGTTCGACAATCTGGTCATGAAGCGCCGCTATGCCATCAGCTTTGACATGTTGCTCCTGGAGGCGGAGGCACGCGCCGCTCGAGTGGGCAAACAGGCGTATATCCACGTCGTCGGCTTTGGCCTGGGCGTTTGGAAGGTGGCGCCGCAGCAGGAGCAAATCTTTCTCGAGACCTTCGAGCAGCGTTTGCGTGTGCTCAGCGCTAAACTAACCCACATTGGTGTCGTCCACTTCTCCTGGTTCAAGCTGGAGCGCTGCGGCGGCATTCACAATGGCGCAGTGATCAAATCCTCACGTCATCCAGACGGTGGTGTCCGCGTGCATCTGTCGAAGCGCAATCCGGCACAGAAGCTGACCAGTCCGGAGCATGCCAACATGCTGCTCGTGGTGTCCTATGCCTGGGATGGCAATGCATTGCCCGGCAATGAGTTCTGGATGGTAAGTAGTCCACCACATCCATTGCTCCTCCCTTAATTCACAACGAATTGTCTGTTCTCTGCAGAAAATGCTGAAGTCAACAGGCGACTCATCCACAGCCTGCTCCACCCTCATCGCCGAGCTGCACAATCCCCACATTAACGAGGACTACTGCAATGGCCGCAATCTACACATTGTCTCGCCCAAATACGGCGTGCTCCACATATCCGATTACGCCAAACGTGTGCTGGCGAGCAAATCTGCTTAGATGTACCATACGCATTGTTAAATAGAACATTGAATGACATATTTTAATGAGATAGAAACTGTTTTTAGCTTAAAAACAAATTACTGCATTTAACTTAATTATTTATTGTGTTTGAATTATCTTAAAAACTTTGATTAATTTCCTTTGTATCAAATACAAAAACCACACAGCCTTGACTTTATAAGAGTTGTAGCTTAGCTAATAAATGTGTCCGTGGGTGTGTGCATTCGCTAACTGTAACGTAAAAAAATCCCTCGTGTTGCCTTTCCTTATTGAATTACCTTAAATATATTCATTTATGAATTTTCTATCTCGCAGTACAAAATATATACATGAAAATCCATAAATATAGGGTGTGTGTATTTGCTAATATAAACAGAAAATCTCTCGTATTCACTATCAAAACTAAATTGCCGTAAATATATAAATATTTTGTATGTGGAAGTAAATAAATGCAAATATTATCACAAAAAAATACATAAGCATAAGTCTAATTGATTTTTACTGGAAGCTATAAAGTGTAAAAGTTTCTCTAATTGCCTTAAATATTATTTTGTTTCTATATAAGTCTATAAATAAAAATATGCTTTTTGGCTAAGCTATAAAGAAAAAGTGGGTGCATGTCATATCCCTTTCTCTATTGAATTACTTTAAATAGTTTCATTTATGCATTTTGTATGCCACATGTACAATTTTAGCTCATAAATATGCTCTAGCTAATCTATAAATGTAGGGTGTGTGACTGACTAAGCTAAGTGGGTGTTAAGCGAATCCCTTACATATCTTCAATTGAGTGCGTGTATTTGCTTTAACTTAATTCACAACTACTAGCATTTTATAAGATTAAACTCTTAGAATAAGAATCAGCATGCAGAACATTTTTCGACTGTTCTAAAAGAATATGCTGGTGCGTGTCTTTGCTAAGCAATTCGCCGTGCCCATTAGACGTTATGGCAAGTGTGCCATGCTAAGATCCTAGTTACTATAAAAAGCAAACCCATTTAAGCATCTGAAAAGTCTATTTATTTTCAACGCCGTGTAGGTGAAACTTGCAGGATCGTGTGCAGCGGCATCTTGTCCGGGTGGGCGGGTTGTTTGCTGTTGTGTGGCCCCTTTGTCAGGGTGCGATGTAACCACACCTCACCCAAAAACCGATCCGCCAGCTGCCCGTCTGCTGCTTACTAACTCTTCTCGGCGCCTGGAGTCTTCTTCGGCATGAAGATCTCCAAAAGGCGAAAGAATTTCGAGGTTTGCGGCCCCTTGCTTGACGTTCCCTCCTTATTCTCCTCAACCTTCTGGTTCCTGTCCGACCTGTCCACCTGTCTCACGAAAGTAAGGTCGCTGCGCGGCGACAGTGAGCCGGGTATGGGCAGTATAAGATATGGCAGATTCTTGATGCGCGGCACCAGCAATTCCGTTGCCGACTCCAGAAGCGAATGCGAACGCTGCACAACCGGGCGCATCTTCGGCTGCCTCGGCAAGCAAACATCTTTCGCTTGACGCGCCTGCAGTCTGGCCGTGGCGGTCCGCGGCATAATCGGCTGTACCCGCACGGCGCCCGGCGGCTGCTCGTTTCTTGCCGCCGTAGCAGCCTGGCCTCGTCTCGGCACAGCTTGGTGCACTCGAAACGGAGCTGCGGATAGCTTCGAGCTGCTGCGCTGCACCCTTGGCGTGGTTCGAGTTCCGCGCGCCGATTCCGGCTGAGCGCAATGCTGTCGGCGGTACGGCGCCAGCTGTTTGGTCGAAGCGCCATCGCTGTCGGGGTCCATCAGGAGCGTTTTGCTGCGCGACAGCTTGGCCAGCCTCGGCTCGTACTGCTTGTATGGCGAGACGGAGCGGGCGCGAGTCGCGCTGTACAGACTGGCCTGACCGATGGCGATGGGCATATAGCCGCGCGCCTCTAGCGGATCGTAGTTGGCGGGCAGCTCGTCAAAGTTGATCTCGTAGAAGAGCTTGAACCACTGGGCGAAGGCGTAGTTGTCCTGGAACCGGCCCTTCACCAGCAACTCTATGTCGATGGGCGTGTTCACGTGGACAGCATTGAAGCTCTGCTGGAGCACGCGAAAGTTCTCGATGTACTCAGTCGGCTGGTTGCAGACGAACTTCACCTTGTGCAGGCGGACGAGGCCCGGGAACAGGATGTCCATCAGGCTGCAGTAGGCGGCCCCAGTGCACAGCTCCTCGATCTTCTGCACCTCGCTGTTTATGGTGCTATTGATCCATGATATAATCTCGTTGCGGGACCACTGCTTCGAGTTCCGTGTGTAAACCACGTTTGTCGCTCGTGGTCCAAGCGGCGCCATAGCTCAAATACCCTCTAGACAGATATCTATATATCTATATATATATACACATATATATATGCCTACCCAAGCTATAGTACCCTCGTATAATCCTAAATATCTAAGATATATAAATATATACTTCCGTCCTTCACCTTGTCCTACTGTGTCGGGCCCAAATGATTGAATGCGTTTCGCTTTTTATATTTCCCTACTCTAAAACTATTGATGCTAACGAAGTGGTAAAAGACAACTGAATAAGACTATAAAAATCGTATTGAAATTAAAAACTAAATTACATTTCCTAAATTTCCAGCCGAACACAAAATCCGAATAGAAAGCAGAGCGACGCCAATGCATGCGATTCGATATTCTTGAGGCCAGCGGGTGCATTAGCTTCGATCGGATGCGTTGCTAAGATCTGCAAAGAGAGCGGAAGAGGGGAGAGGGGAGAACTGCATTAGTATTATAGATCTGGGTACTCCACTACTACCAACTGTTGACCCTGTTGATGTTTGTTCTGCTTGGCATATATTTCTCGGCAAATATTCCAATCGGAGCCAGTCTCTCATCCCTCTAACCGTCCTGCGGTTGACCGACCAAATTGTGCGAATGGCGTCACACTGAAAGCCAGTCAACAGCATGGAAAACAAATGCAATTTAATTGTAAAGCCATTCCCGAGGCTCTCTTGGCCCACCTGGACGTCGATTTCGTCTCTTTTGGCTTTGTTTTATTTGCATTTGGCTTCTACTTGTGTTTGTGTTTATAAATTTTAATTGATTGCATTCAAAAACAGAAATTCAATTTCCATTTCCATTTTTAGCCGTGTGCAGTTGGGAGATAGAAATAGAAAGAGAGCGAGAGAGATAGAAACATATCTATTTGCACGCACAGCCTGCTGTCCGGCATATCCGACTCTTTATCGCCTTGAGCTCCATAAAAACTAAAACATTAAACACACCTGTCCATTGTTTTACCTGGCTTCACCTGACCTAATCGATATTTCCCATTTAATATTAACACGTAAATGGGATACATTTAATGTGTAATTCATTTATTCCAACCTCCCCATTTATTCCAACTGTACCTCTATTCCAACTGTACCTCTATTCCAACTGTACCTCTATTCCAACTGTACCTCTACTCCAACTGTACCTCTACTCCAAACTGTACCTCTACTCCAAACTGTACCTCTACTCCAAACTGTACCTCTACTCCAAACTGTACCTCTACTCCAAACTGTACCTCTACTCCAAACTGTACCTCTTTCCAAACTGTACCTCTTTCCAAACTGTACCTCTTTCCAAACTGTACCTCTTTTCCAAATGTACCTCTTTTCCAAATGTACCTCTTTTCCAAATGTACCTCTTTTCCAACTGTACCTCTTTTCCAAATGTACCTCTTTTCCAAATGTACCTCTTTTCCAAATGTACCTCTTTTCCAAATGTACCTCTTTTCCAAATGTACCTCTTTTCCAAATGTACCTCTTTCTTTTCCAAATGTACCTCTTTTCCAAATGTACCTCTTTTCCAAATGTACCTCTTTTCCAAATGTACCTCTTTTCCAAATGTACCTCTTTTCCAAATGTACCTCTTTTCCAAATGTACCTCTTTTCCAAATGTACCTCTTTTCCAAATGTACCTCTTTTCCAAATGTACCCTCTTTTCCAAATGTACCACTTCTCCACAACCCACATCTACTCAGTGCAATCGTCACTCAATACTCACCAGATAATGTTGAATGGCCGCATAATCTACCTAATCTAATGTGGGCGAAAGCAAATATTAAAAAAAAAAGTGATAATAAAAAATTTTGCTTTGAGCTGTGTATTTCTCAATCTTACTTTGTAGACTGAACCGAAAGCGAATTCTCCCTCGCACACTCACAAAATCTCGGTGACAGCGATGCCAATGCCCAACTGACAGAGAAATTTCGAGATGTTCGTCTGACAAGGTGGATATATAACTTTAAATATATAAATATATATGTGTAAAGCTCTATTCATAAAAATAGTAGTGCTGTACTACATCAAAATTCAAACCCAAATGAAACGATAGTCCTTGCGTTGAACAATCAAGTGATGCCCACTTTTTGAGTGGAATAGAATGCAAATTGTAGTATAGTCGTATAGTATAGTCCCGTTAATTTCGGTAAAAGTTAGTTCATAGAAATAGTTGTGTATGCATCCATTTCATACATTAAAACCTTTTTTTTAGAACATTGCAAGCTTGCTTATGCTCGCTCGCTCAGCTGAAAGGGTATATTGGCTGCTCCGCCAATGCTCGTGGGTAAGCTTCTTATAAAGTCTCCACATTAGAGGCGTGCCTGGTTGTAAATACCTATAGATATCAACATTTTGAAGCTGAAACTTCAAAATTGGAAAATTAAGTCGTCAAGACTTATTATCTATGTCTGAGTTAAGAACTCACCTGAAGTCTATTGGAATAATTTGGATATGCCATCAGGTTGGGCTGGAGATTTCTCTAGTCTTACGGAAATATCTACAGAAGCGGGTTATTGATAACCACGTAAGACCCATATGCCGCAGCTGTAGAGTGCTTGATGGCCAATTGGTATTCCCCTGCCACTGGGTCGCTCCTTGACCGAACAGCTCATTAAATGCAATGCAACACAACAGACACACACACAGACACACACACACACACACACACACACACACACACACACACATGCAAAGGTGAAAGGGGAGTTCGATTGTGGAGCAGCTGCATTATCGCTGGAATTTGACAGAGCTGAAACGAGTCGAGCAGGCAAATGCAGAACTCATCGTGGGGCACGTTTCAAATTTTTCATTTTGTTTGAAATAAAAATGTGGCAAATGTGGCAAATTCAATATGTGTGTGTGGAGAGTTTGAAATATACCATGCCCAGCCTTGACCTAATCAAACCGATTATCCAAGCAAAATATTTACAGCTCGCCTGAAATGCGAAAAAAACACTTCAAAACATTTACAAACAACACCTTGAATACCCTGTAAGCAGCAGCAACTGGCTGGCTTAGCTGAGCTGGGTGAATTTATTTAGGAATATTGGCTACACGGCATAGACTCCTTAGTCCAGAGAGATCTTTCATCTCAGCGCTTTACGGTTACCTTCGCTTTGCCCACCTGTTGAGTACGCTTTTCCCTTTGCACTGGGTCGGGCCTGGCTGTTTATAGGGTATTCACAGTTCAGCATGGCCGCATTCGTGTCGTGTCTGAAGAATCTTTGAGGAAAAGCAAAAGCTTCCGTTCGCAATCCATTAAAAGGCACAAATGGAGAAGTGCGAAATAACAAATGAGACTTAAGCAAACGAGAAACAGCCAAGATTGCGGCAGTCGGGCGTTAGCGACTGCTCAATGCTCGTTCAGGCGCCAAAAGCATGAAAGTCTAGCTCTGGCTGTCGAGGAGCTCAGAAAACTTGAAGATTCTAGCTATATGACGTTGGAGAATCGGGTTCTTTAATACATAGATAATATGTATATATAATACTATATCTCTAAGCATTGTATACCCGAGTATACAGGCTAAGTTTCAGCTGTCTAGCTTACATATGTATAGGGCATATATTGGGCATATCAGACGGGTTTGCTAAAAACCCATATACTCTTTGCGCTTGTCGAACGAGCATCAATTGATTAAAAACGAGTGCATGCTATCGAGAGTGAGGTTAGGTGCAACTAAGAACAATAAATAATCATAAATATACGAATATTTATTGCCAAAAATCAACAAAAGACAAAAGATTTCAAACAAAGCACAAAAATATATGAAACTTGAGCATATTTCAACAGTTCATAATCAACATATCGGCCATAAAGCACGATTGCTGCAGAGCCCAATGAATTGTTTGTCTATCTGCTATACATTTCATATACTTAACATGTGTATATGTATGCGTGAACGGATCTGACAGTTCTAAACGCAGCCAGAAATACTCATACTTGAATCGGCTGTGGCATTCCAGTGTATGTGTGCCTCTCTGAAGAGCAAAAGTACCGCATCGCTTGCCTTCCAATGCTCTTTGTGGGAAATTTGCGCTCTTTACGCAGTCGAATGCTTAAACGAATTATTTCCCTTTAACAAGGAGCCGGCTATAAAAGCGCGTCGGCAGCGCAGCGGCGGCTCACAAAGCGACGGCGAATGCGACGCGACAGTTGCCCAAGCATCGAGCACGAAGCGAATCAAAGCATTAAGAACAGCGAGCGCGCGACCGAACACGTAAAACGCCAAGAGCCATTAGACAAAAGTAACGGTCCGCACAAGACGCTTATGCAAATTGCTCGCGTGCGTGTGCCCGTGCCTGTGTGTGTTTGTTATTTTTGTTCTTGTGCTCAAATTGCCGCAATAAAAGTACAAAATTATGTGGCACAAGTGAAAGTGGCCACATTGAGCGGACACCACAGCAGCAGCCAACGGACACATAACGGTACGTATAGCAACGCATGCCGTCACCTGAGCACTGCATGAATGATAAATTCAAGCCTTTAGCTCGATCTTTTTCGAATTTCGTTTCGATAGCTAAGTTTTTTTCTGAATGTATCAGATCAGATATTTTCTTTTTCATATGAAAGCCAAGCTCTAAATTATAAATTTCCCTCTTGAATTGCTTAAGTCAAGAATTTGCATAAATAATTTAATCTTTACCAGTCGAAAAGACTTAAATAATCCTGGTAAAAATTCGCATTTGAAATTGGAATTTTGAATACAGATTTATTAAAAAATATAGCTAAAAATTGTAAGCCAATAAATAAAAACTTCAGACTTTTAAGATAAAGTTATAAATAATAATAATAATAATGAGTTAAAATGTGGGTTCAAAAAAGATAAAAAAAAAAATAAAGATAAAGATAAATAAATAAATAAATAATAAATAAAGATAATTGAATTTAGTAAAAAAGCTAAAATCTGGCTTTAAAAAAATATCAATTTACGTAATACTCGAGCTAAACTTAAACTTAGTTAAATCCATAGAATAAAACTCTAAATTAGAAGTATTGAGATTGGGTCAGAAATGTGAGATATGAAGCTAAAGCTGATTAAATGAGTAAAAATAGAAAATTAATATTAAAGATATAAATTAATATATTATATTTAATTAAAGTAAAGTGTCCTCCATAAAATTCAGGTAATTAAAAGAGGAATTTCCTTTTCAATTATTTCAAGTACAAAAATATTTAAAACAAGTGTTGGAACACTTAAAACAGCAAATACAACGAGGCAAGAATTTTGAGAGCTTTCGAACCGAAAAATAAAGAAAAACAATTCACAATTTAAGACTCAATTGCGAGGCATTTATAGACCAATTAAATATGGGCGCTGAGTGCTGTTGGGCTGCATCGCTTAGTCCGTCTCGGCCATGTTGGAGGCGGCAGTCATCGCATGGGCGTGTGTGTGTGTGTGTGTGTGTGTGTGTGTGTGTGTGGCATAGGAAGCGCGTTTGGATGAGTTTTCTTACATTGTTTGGATTTCCATTTCGATTGGATTCGTTTCCTTTTGGTTTAGTTTGCGTTCAATTGAATCGAATTCGCTTTTGCTGGTAATGAAGCTAGTTGGCATTGGCCATGGCCAGCACACACACACACACACACACTTATGCACAATACTAGTTAACATATTTTTATGGCCCCGTTGTCGCCAAAGTGTCCTCCAGTTTCAGCATCAACTTCAGCTTCGAGTGCCATTTGCCGGCGGTCATAGAGACGATGAGAGGGGCAGGAGCAATTGGCGGCCTGTGGATTGCCCGCTTGATTGGCCCCTCCAATGGAGTGGAGCAGCAGAGGGATAGGATGGTTGGGGCACCTTTTATGTTCCATTTCACATATGCTATTGTTTGTGTGCTGGCGGAGGCACTACACATGGCACAGTTGCAAAGCTATCAAATAAAACAGAAACTCTCAGCCAATCTATATATAGCCGCATGCAACTTTCAAACTTTCAATTGCTCAGTTTTTGTGCAATGAAAATAAATCAGATTCCATTCAGAGTCCGACCTAAAAAAGAAGCACAAGTGAGAGTGCTCCAGTGGGGAGTGACCGACTAGGCGATACCTTGAACTCAGCGCAGAGCTGCACTTCCAATTGTACTCAGCTTGTTTGAAATTTTTCTGGAATTTCTAGAATTACTCGATCAAAATTTCACAGTGCAATAAAGACATGCAAATGTATTAGAAAAAGAATTCATGGCAAATTTTGGGATAAAGAGCGGAAGGCATCCATAATGCGAAAGTAGAGCAAGCTGTGTATCCAATGCCCCCACAGCAATTTGCGTGTCTACATGTTATGTGGTATTCAGGCTAGGCTTAAAAATCGAGACCAAATGATCGATTTTTATCGATAACAAGCAAATGATAAACTGCTAATGCATTTGGTATGACATTAGCATATTCTAATTTCAATGAGTTCCGGCTACAATGAGATCGAGTAAAAGATGGAGCATATTAGATACAGATATATACTGAAATTATATAGTGCAAATCGGAACTGCGCAAGCTTCAAATATATTATTATAATACCCATTAGGTACGTTAGTTAAAAGCAAGCAATTTAGCTCTGAGTTGCTCGACTCCAATCACATAGTGTATACAGCTAACTAGTATACGAACTCGTGTACGAAAACCTGCATTCGACTAAAGCAGTTAAATATTTCAATTGAAATATGGAAACAGATCAAAAACAGAAGGCAAAGCCTCTGATTGTATGGGCTGACCAAATAAGAGCAGTTGGCAAACAAATTGCAATAAACCAAACATGGTTTGTCATAGTAGTTCGATTCAGATTTTATTTGAAAGCTACATTCATGCCACATTGTGAGGCAGAGTAGATGAGTCAAATGGTTGCCTAGCGATGCCTGGGCTGTGCTTGACTTTATTTTAATTGAGGGCTTCTGAAATACTGATTGCTATTCACTGCCTCAAGCAACTGACTTCAGCTCACTCCGTCTAGCTGTTAGCTTAAGATCCAACAAACATTTCGACAGCTGAATGCTATCGATAACTTAAAGAGCAGCAGCAAAATAGTTATCGATAATAATATGGCTCTTGCCGGGCCCCACTCCAGCGTCATAAAGATCACATTTATTTCTATGAAAAAGTAAGTATATAGACTATACAGAGATATAGTGACAATATGACTCTTAGATAATACGTATTACCTTCATGTTGTCCAAGTAACAGCGCAATTGATATACAGTGCCTGTCAGAGTTGACATGAGGTTAAATGATATTGTGCTAGCAAAAGCTGAGGCAGTGACAGGCCGAGAAAACTTGACTCGTAGATAAGGATTAGCCAAGTGGCGACATGAGGAGCCGTGAATTCCCAGTGGTCAGCCAGAGCCGGCTAAGCTAGTTGTCAACCAGTGACCAGTGGGCGGTGGGCGGTGGGCGGTGGGCGTAAGCGCGCCTTAAGCGTCAGTGGACGCTTGCCAACACTGAAATAAAGCCCCAGAGGTCAAACGGATGATTCATTAAAGCAATTAGCAGTCGAGCCAATGCTTCCAATTTTGCGAATTTCTCTTTGCAGACAGCTGAAGCCGCAACAGCAGCTGGGCTAGGGAGGATTCGGAGTGGGCGTGGCTAGCAGGCGTAAGGGAAGCGGAGGCGCGCCACCAAATGCTCATTGAAATTTACGATTATGCTGCGAAATTATTAAACAATATGACCGCAACAACCGCAAGCATCATTAATAATCTGGCCAGCGGGTCAGAGGGTCAGAGAGCCGGACGAACGGACAGTCCAAATCCCACGACGGCCACAAATCTAACGTCCAAACTGCTGCAGGCGACAACAGGCAATATGAAGACGCTGCTGAATCGCACGCTGGCCACAATGGGCGGCCAGCGCAGCACATTGACCACCCTGCTGCTTCATGGCGGCCTGGGCACAGGCGTGGCCAGCGGGCAGCGGATCCGGCAGCTGCCCCATGCCAATGGCAGCGTGCATGCCACGGCCAATGACAGCGACAACCCTGGCCAGGATATGTACAATGCATTTAATGTCACGTCGTCGCCGTCGTCGTCGTCAGTCGGTTTCATCGAGTCCTCGACCACGGCCGCCAGCACAGTGCTGAGCAGCGCCATCACCAATCTGCCGGAGACGAGTGGCCCGGCCACCACATTCCCAGCTCAGACGATGGCCACCATCATTGCGGCCGGCAACAAGAATCGAGCCACCACCATCATCCTATATCCAACGGGTGAGTCAAGCGGTTTCCACTTACCAAATCCAAATCACAATTCAGTTGCTGCATCTGCTAATGGCTATTCTAATGCTTGTTGACTCGGCTGATGTGCTGGCCCCGCAAGGGCCAGAGCGCGTTGGAATAAAGTAGATACATCCCACTCCATTTGATATGTATGAACTCTTGATCACGACTACGAGAGACAGTATTAGATATAATTATCATATAATAGAATTCAATTTCATTAATGGAACATTCAAATATCTGTTATACAAACATTTATTTCAATGACATCAAATTTCTAATATATGTTTTGAATGCATTTTAAATGCTGTTTTTAGAGTATTTCATTTTAGCTTTTATCTTTTATTTTGTAATCAAACTGAGACTGGTTAAGACCAATGTTGCCAGCTGATCTCAAGGCGATATACGATGTGGCAGTCTGTTCCGCAATTTATATGTATAGCCTAAACTTGTTGTAAGGGCGAGTTTTGATTAGGAGAAAATATGCATGCGAATCCAATTAGCGTAGTCTGTCTCTCTGTTCGTCTAGTCGGAACGGGCAGACGGAGAGCCAGAGGGACACGCAGATGTATAGACAGATGGTCGGAAGGACGAACGAATAGACCGACGGACAAACTGAAGAACGAACACAGATATAGTCGGTGAGACGGTCGGACGAACAGACAGACGGAAGGACGGACAGATAGACAGACGGACGAACAGACAAACGTATAGAGTGTCTGTTTGTCCGTCCTTTCGTCTGTCGGTCAGTCCTACTACCCCTCTGTCTGTCCTTTTGTACATATGTCTATCGGTCCATCTTTCCTTCCATCTGTCCATCCGTCCTTCCGTCGGTCTATCTACGTGTCCGTCCGCACGTCTCGCCGACTATCTGTCTGTACGTTCTTTATTTTGTCCGTCTGTCTATTCGTCCGTCCTTCCGACTATCTGTCTATACATCTGCATGTTCCTCTGGCTTTTCGTCTGTCCGTCCGTTCGTTCGTCTGTCTGTTCATCCGTCCGTCTACTCGACTATGTGTCTGTCCATCTGGCTTTTCGTCTGTCTGTCTATCTATCCGTCCGCTTGTAAGACTCAGTCCGTCCTTCCTTACGTCTGTCTGTCTGTCCCACTATCTGTCCGTTCTTCCGTCTGCCTGTCCGTCCGTCCGTCCGTCCATCCATCCATCCATTCGTTCGTCCGCTTGGTCCGCCTATTCATATTTATTCTGGCAGCTCTTGGAGTTCTTTTAATAGAATCACAGATGCGATTGAATTCTATTTGTGTCACGTCCGACTTTAGTTGTGCCATTGCCACTTCCATAACAAGTGTTGCGATGGCTGAGATGGTGGGCGAAATATTTCATTGTATGGCATATTTTTAACACTCGTTCAGGAAGTGAAAAGAATATAGAGGGTTGGTGAAGTGTGCGCCTGTCCGTATGAATGCGAAGCATGTGAAATCTGAAAGCGATACACAAATCTGTATCTGATATCTTCCGTTTGAATACGTCCACGGGGGTGTATTCTATAGAAATATATCATTTGACACTTAAACGCTGTTGTAAAAGCTGCCATTAAAGCCAAAGGAAGGGTATTATCAGGCATACCCAAAAATCTGTACTGCATAGTCGTATGGTTAAGTCTAATGGGGACGTCACAGATCGCGAAAACTGATTTGAAATTTGAAATTTTTGATAAAGCAGCTCGCCTGAGCATTCAGGGCGTTGAGTAAGCCGTAGCTAAAGATAAGTTAAAATTAATAGAAATCCACGATTTATACCTCATTCAAGTAAGTTTGGACTGAATTGTGGCTCATGAAGCATCAACGTTTGAGGCGCCTTAACCAGCTTCGTCTGTCCGTTTCGCTTGCACATAAAACACTTAGGTTCTTTGAAGGAACTGAGGCTCAACAAATGAGTAAACGGAGATTCAGCTGAACTGAACTGTTTCACCAGTAACAGAGACATAATATCCTCACATTGCCATTGTTATTCGAAACTATCCACACATTGACAGCGCCTAGCTTTGCGCTCCTTGGTATTGCTGTGCCAGCTGGAGCTCTCATCGGGGCTAAGTGCTTGGCTTCCATTAGGCATGAACTAGTGCTTTGTGTGCCATACTTAGTCACAGATAATGGGCCAGTTTACTTATATCATATATAATGACAAATCACCTTTGACCTTTGAGCAATATAGTTAGAGATTCATTAAGTTGTATGGCCTATTGACATATGCATGAAAGTCGCTCGACAGCGTGGCCAGTTGATGGAGTAGGCAACTGTCCCTTAGGAGAACGTGTTCCAGTGAAGCACAGCTTATGATTAGACTATTTATGCCTGTGTTGGGCATGTGTTTGTAGTTGTCGCAAAGTTCGCACGCCAGGGTAAAGATAATGCTGCTGTTTAAGCCAACGTAAGCCGGTGACCTTTTTGTTGAAGTACTCTCGACTCCCAGCGGACTTCCACTTAGACGCAACGCATTTAATAGATCATCGAACGCTTCACTTGTTAAGTCCTTGGCCAATTGCTTTTTGGGGCTGTCAACGCAGCTGCCAGTTAATCATAACTTAACTGACTTAAGTCCTATTCGGCGCTAGGCTCAATAATGTGGTCAACCAATTCGAATGCAGCAGTTGCCAATCGCCAATCGCCACTCGCCACTCGCTCGACTGCTGATTAGCACGCTTCGCACATCAATTTCTGTCAGCGAACAGCCTGCCACGCCCCTGCCGCCGCCCCTTCAATAATCAAATCAACTCAGCCATTTAGACTGACAAACAGACAGCGAGTCGGAGAAACCTTCGGACGGACGGACGGACGAAGGGACGAAGTCGCGTGCCAGGCCCAATTAGGGGCTAATTTGCATAATACCATCCATTCGCTCATTATCCCCAGTGGCTCCGATAGCAAAGCGGCTGGCAATAGACAATATAAGCCCCCAATTTTTTGCCCACAGACGGCTCTACTTCTTTCAATATACCCTGTATGCCGGAGCAAGGGGTGAAAGGGGTAGCAATGTGCAAAAGTAATTGAAATCCCTTCAATATGTCGATATATATACTATATATACATATCTATGTGTGTGTTATATATTTAAATGCCTGCTGACTGCTGCCTGTTCATGTGTGTATATACATATTTAATCAGTCTGAGCATCGACTATCAATTAAATGGAGGTCAGCGACTTGTAGGCACAAGCTAATGGAATAGGGCACAGAAGCTTAGAGAAGTTTCCTTCAAAGTGCGATATTTATCGATAAAGATAAGGGTTGGGGCAGTCTAAGTGGAAGCACACTGAAATGTTGAAGAACTATGAGCTTATACGAAATACTATTAGAGGTATTGCTGGCTGCTCAGACTCAGCTATGGACTAGCCTGGGACTCGTTGCCATCATATAAGTATTTCGATGATTTCGACTTGGAACTGCTACAGGGTAACTGCGCGTCCAGCATACTTTGTCCTGTCTTTGCACTTATGGTAGCAGTGCAAGCTTCGTTCGGCAATTGGGGCAAGTGTAATTTAGAGCAAGACAGAGCGATGCATATTGTAAGGTAGGCAAAGAGAGAGAGAGAGAGAGCGCGAGAGCTTACGACCTTACGACCCTTGGGCCTAATGCAGCAATTAGGCAAGTTTAAGTCGCATTAATTGCAGAGTTTGGTCGGATATTAACGCGACTCGAACCGATGATTATTTTAAGCGCCAGCTCTTAACGTGGCTCCGGGCTCCACAAAGTTGAGCCGAGAGGGAGAGCTGAATGCTGACTCAGTTTGCTCCCATTAAGACAAATCAGAAAGACGACGTCGTCGTCATCGTTGTCGACGTTAATATCTCATATCCTAATCATGTCGCTTATCTGTTCATATCAGCAACGCGCAGCGACATTGTCAGCGCTTTCATTCGCCTCCGGCCTATCTTTATGGGCGGACGAGGCTGACATAAAAATACTTTTCGACAAAAGCCAGCAAACTTGTCCATTTCCACAGCAACAAGACAACAATAAAATACATACAACAAAAGCGAAGTGCGTAAATTTCATTCAATGAAATTGTTTGGCCCGCCAGGCGCCCCCACTCCCACCCCCACCTTGCTTCACAGCTCCAGGCGACATGAGTGCCACAAAAACTCTGCATGAAAATATTTCCTCAAGCGGCTAGTGCTGCAGCATGTTGCAGGCGAATATGTAGCAAGTATTTTGCGCCGGATAGTTCGCAAAATATGTATATCGGAAAGCAGATTGTGCTGCTAGCAGAATGCTTATCACAAATAGTTTCGTTGCAGCAAAAATTTGCTTAGAAAATAAACTCAAATTTGGCAAAAGTTGCATTTGAAAGACATTTTGGGCTTTAACCACTAATAAAGCCTAGTGACAAAATACCTTTAACTGACATAAACTAAATACTGTGCGGACTCCAGCTATAACACTCTCAATTAGTCGCTTCTAAAATTGCAAATCAGTCACTCAATCAGCTAGTTAGACAACGGTCAATCAATCAGTCAGCTAGTCAATCACCTACTAAGTCAAGTTGTTCAATAAGTCAGTCTGTCAATCAGTCGACCAATCAATAAATCGGTCGGTCTTTCATTCACACAGTCAGTCAGCGAACCAATCAGTCAAGCGGCATATCAATCAAACAGTCAATCAGTCAGTTAATCAATCTTTTGAACAGTCAATCAGGTATTTACTCAACGAGTCAATCTATCAGACAGTCAGTCAATCGCTGATTTAGTCAATCAGTCAGCCAAGCAATCAAACAGCTTTTCAATCAAACAGTCAGTCATCAATCAAATAGTTAATCATCCAGTCATCAGTCAAGCGGTCGATCAATCAGACAATCAATCGCTGAATCAGCTAATCAGACAACGTGTTAACTGTCAATCAATCAATCAAACAGCTAGTCAATCACCTACTAAGTGCATTAGTTGGTCAATCAATCACACACACACAGTCAATCAGTCAAACAAGTTTTTAATCAAACACTCAGCCAATCAATCAATCAATCAGTTAGTCAATCA